TGCTTGGCCGAACGCTCATGCATAGTATTACAAAGTGAAGACACTCGTTCTCAAATAGGATTCTTTCCAAATGAAAGAATCCAATTCTAACAAGTTTACTATGAAAACCGAACGGTCAAGGACCGTCCAATTACGAACGTACACTCTCATAGGGGAATTTCATACTTAGAAATCATTTCTCAATTTAATTTCTCAACATATATCTTCATAATTTCATCTATTCATATCATAGTCAATTTTCATACTTCATAGAATCCATATCATAGAAATTCCATATATTTCATACATCAGAACATAGCACAATCATATTTCATTTCCCGTCATCAAATCAACGAACGTTCATAGTAAACATACAAATTAAATTAAATAAGCTTCCCTTACCTCTGAGCGTGAACGAATGTCCTAGAGACAGAACACGGTTTGCTTGACTACAATTCCTTCTACCCTCACGCTCAACAATTCCTCAACTAATCAAACAACAGACCAAAAATGGTTAAGAAAGAGACTAAGAACTCATGCAACCAAAACTTGGTTTGCATGTACCAGATAACGAACGACTAACGAGAAAAAAGAACTTACCAGTTCAAAACCCGAAACCGTTCGGTTCAAACTGAAGCTCTGGACGCCGGAAGTGCTTCTACGGTGCTTGAACGGTGATCGAAGAAAAGAAAAGGTGAGATTTGGTAGCGAGAAGGGAAAGCTTTTAGAGAGAAGGAGGAGAAATGAGATTTTCAGAGTTTGGGGAAGAAGGGTGCATGTAGAGAGTGTGACGTGAATTTCTGAAAAATCAAGTTTTGCTTCCCACTTCAAAACGAGCGTCCGCTCAAGACAATCGCCCAACCTTAACATTGGGGCCACCTAAAAACCTCAACCTTCAAAACATTAAAGTAAACCAGATTAGGACCACTTTAAAACACACAGAACACATCAACCTAAAAACACACTTACAACACATCAACCTAAAAACCCACACAACATAACTATGATCACTACACTAAGAACACACACCACTACTACGAATAATTGGATCCTTCTCTTCAAAGCTTTCAATATGTTCTCCATATCATAAATCTTCCTCCTTTGCCTATCAATGATAACATCCCTTTCATCAACATTTTCTTCATTGCACCATTTGAAATAGTTACAACACATTACATTAGCAGGTCCACTATGTTATTCATCAAACACAATGTTAATTACCAACACAAAGAAAATAGACTTTAATTAGAAATGATTTTATTCATATAACCTTGTAGTTACGACAACCCCAAAAATATCTTCCAACATTCTTTGAAGTTCTAGCCATTTTTACTATTGTCATCTCACCACAATTGCAAATGGAGATTATCCCTACCCCATTGAACCACCATCATGTGAGGAATGATAACTTCTGTGGCCCAAGCTATTGCAACAACAAGAAGAAGAAGATTGGGAAACAAACATAGCTCATCAACCACCAAGATTGACAAGAAGATTGCTTAACCTCGAACTTCACTATGGCTTTCACAGAAGAAAAGTAAAAAAACCCTAATTTTAGAATCCACCCTCATTAAAAATTGGGTTTCAGTAAATAAATGACATTTCTTTCAGAATCCAACTCACTGTGCATGGGAATCCACGCGGGCAGTTAAGTGCCATCTCATTTAGGTTTTGCTGGACAGTAGGTCATCCACGCGGGCAGTTAAGTGCCATCTCATTTAAGTTTTGCTAGACAGTAGGTTGTTAACGATTTAAACGCCATTTGCAAAAAAAAAATTAAATTGAACATAAATTATAGTCTTTAGGACAACATTGAACAATTTAAAAAAACTAAGACCATTTCAAGCAAACCTGACAAAAATAAAGACCATCAATGCTATTAAGCCTTTTATTTAAATTAATGTTTTCAATAAGCCAAACAAACATTTTCTTTTTGTTAATTGAGATTTCACTAAAGTCGGATAATATTTTCAGCCAAATTTGAAATAAAACCTAAATCAATTATGTCATTCCTGCAATTGTCTTTCTTATTCATTCAGTTGTTAACATCAAGATCAAGATTGATGTGGTATTTTTCTTTTAAAGTTCCAACCTTTGCATAAAGTTGCATATAAATGAAGGAATTTTCCATTACTTCTGCACAACAGCAAAAAAAAACATTTAAAAACTTTATTCACCAATAAATTAATATAATTTAAATAAATTAAATAAATACACTTGTATATCATACTTTATTGATAAGATTAGTTAAGATGAATTTTATCTTCCATTTATATTCTAATACCTGTCCTTAATTTTGTATTTAGATTGGAGTTGGGTGTGACCGAGGGAAAGAAAAGAGGGGGAAAAGATAAGAAATAAAAGTAATGAATGGGTACACCTAATAAATGTTGTTAACCAACCCAATAAGTATTTTAAATAAAACATTTTGAGAACTCCAATTAAGAGTTAACCAAAATAATTCATTTAATGGTCGCAACAGGTAAAGTTATTCACTAAGTAACATATGTATGATATGTTTATACCACTATATCATGTGGCTTGAATAGCAGGTAGTATAAAAACAGAAGACAAAGCTTATAAAGATCAAACAGCTTTTAAACATTCTGCAAACCATTTAATGGATATTACTTGACAAGGTAAAAAGAAAAACAATAGGCATTACTATAGGAGAACAGAAGTTCCTTGTGATTTGAATGAAACTTTTAGAATACTCCTTCTCAGTCACCAGAATGGAAAAATTAAATAAGAAATGAAAAACCAGCATTCATAACAAAATTGAAACACTTGATTTGAACCAATCGTGATCAGATTCATGGAAATGAGCAAAAGAAGGGCTCAACAAAAATAATCAAAAATAAGAACACAAGCAATCTGTGGTAGGATGAAATGAAGTTGTTCCTATGTGATTACCTTGTCTATGCTCTCTTAATGTTTCTAATGAATCAAGCAGCCTCAAGATGACAACTAGGAAATGTGGCAGAGTGAGAATTACATGAACAGGTTGGGCTTGGATGCCTTGTATGTTGTTTTGAGCTTCCTAGTTGGGGGCCTCACCTTCTTGAACACCAAAGGGAACTTGATTTTGGAGTTGAGGAATTGCTTGGTGCTCTCCCTTTTGCAAAGCTTAGCTGGGATGGTGGCAGTCTTAATAATCTGGATGCATGGAGACCTGACTCTATGACGAGATGCCATTTCGTTGTACATTTGTTCAACAGCACCGTTCAGAGTAGTATCTCTGTATTCCTTGTACATGTTGTGATAACCGGTTCGGCTCTGATATCGCAGCCAAATTCCATAGTTCTTGATCTTGGTAGGATTTTTCTCAAAAATCTGCAATTCATATAAGGAAAATATACACCATTGTCGGCATTTATAGCCTAGAATACAGAAGCTAAAAACAGGAAAACAAATCATCAACAAGTACTCTTTTGCTTAGCTAAGTAAAGGTAAAATCCTACAAGTACATGTTACATGAAGCACACAATACTGTGATCAACCTGTGTCCAAACTTCAATATCTTTTCCCTCAATGACCCCTATAAAGATTTCCTAGTATCTGACTATATAGTTTATATGTATATCAAACAACTCCGAGGCAGAAGCCATATGAAAAAAATAGTCAGTTATAATCTTGATTTAACAAAATATTTCACATGTTTCAGGCTTAAAAGCTTCCTGTCTTCACACATGTTTTACAATTTTTATAACTTCACACGATTTTGCAACCACTTAAGAGACTGCTATCTAAAATCAAATATCAGTAAATAAACACTAGGACTTACTAGTAACTAAATAACAAAGCAAACAGATCCTCAAGTACTCAAACAATTTCCAATTAATTAGAATTCTTCATTGAATGAGAGAAAAGTGGTGCAATGTGTTCAACATAAAAAGATAGTCAAGCAAAAATTACTTTGCCTAAGCCAAATTCCCAAAAAGCATGCAGAAAACTACATGGCATTGTTATTTTACCAGTCTTACAACATATACTCTTTATATCAACCTAATTTGTCCTTGGGATGGTAGGCTTCCAAGCAGTAGTTATATGCACCAAGTGATTTTTTATAGAGAAAAAAATTTAACAAAAGCACTTAAAGAAGCTACAAGCTTCAAGTAGAAATAAATCTTGTTTGCAACCTGCTGCCATAAACAGTGTTATGTGATAAGGAATATTGGGTCAATTGGGAATGCATACCTCATTGATCGCTAGCATTTGCCCGTTGCTTTTCTTGACCTTCTTTAGTTTTCTCAAGAAATACCTGCAAAAAATTAAAAGAAAACTGCTTTTCACAAACAGTTTCACAGTTTATATGTATGCTGCATTGATTACTATCCAGATAATGAGACAGCAATTACAAGCTACAACTGTGTGGGTGGAATTTGGACCTTTATTCAAATAGTTCTTAATTTCATAGTACAACAAGAGAAAAATAAAATTATTCTTTGATGTGAAGGGTGAGGAATTAAAAGGAAATAATTACAAGACCTACGAAGTCCACACCACAATAATATTCCATGTGAACCATGCCAATCAGAAAACTTCATTAAAAGCATCTATGCATATATTTTCAACAAACCAAAATGCACTATCTTTGCCTATCAATGGTGCCACCCTTCCAGCCATACACAGAGATTAATAGTCTAAGGTAGAAAATTCCCATTTTTTTGGCATTTTCACACAATCCCATCATCAAACAGATACAGAAAGTTAAGGTTGTCACATACCAGAACTTAGATTTAGCACGGACCTCATTGGTGGCCCAGAGTTTCATCCTGTAGATCTTGGGATGCACATCAGTTTCAGTGGGAAGAGCTCTTCCCACAACTTGGTATTGATGAAACTGATTCAATAATACCCAAAAAAAAAAAGTGTCATCCAACTAGAAAAAACGAAATCAACTAGAAAACAAAAACTAGTTCAAAATATGAAGTTTAGTAAACAATCAGAAAAAGTCCCATTTTGCAAGGAATTGAAAGAATATAGAACGGTTGCAAAAGTTAGAAGATAGGAAAATGGTGAAAAATCCATGATATGATTACCCTGAAGGTGACCATGGTTGCAACTGCTTAGTGTTGTCTCAGTTGCAGGTATTTTCTCTGTGCATTAACATAAACTGCAAAACCCTAAGTTTACTTGTGTTTTTGGTCAATATTGTGAAAATAAAAAAAAAAGCCCACGGTGTACATTTTGGGCTCTATTCTTGAGTAATTTTATACGGCTTCGTCATGTCTTCTTCCTGCACCCCTTAAAGTAAACTAAGCGTAACGCATCTTCCATTTGCCAGGAGTTAGAGAAATGACCGAAGAAACAAAATATGGAGCGAAAGTGAACAAGATAGAAAGGAACAAGACTCATAAAACGCAGGGCGTAACAATTTAGGTTGGAAGTACGGTTAGGGAAAAAGAGTGGGTGAATAAATATATTCTTAAAGTAGGATCTAGACTCAGTCTCTTTAGCGTGTTGTGTCACCTGGATGAATTCTCCCCTGGGGATAAGACCCATCAATGGAAGTAAAAAAATTAATAAATAATTGTTTTTATTCACTTCTAGTAAGCTAGCTCACCGTGATAATTTCCACTTATATATTATAAATGGTTCTTGTTAGAGATGACAAGGAAGATGATTTAGCTTGTAAGCCCGCACAGAAAAAGTTTGGCACCAAGCTCAACATTCTTAGGTCATTGCCTAGGTAGCTCTATTTGCCCAACATCACCATTAACTGTAAATCCATAAATGTGAGGTAGCACCACATTACAACAGTGTGTTGTGGTTTTTAAGCAACTACTCATTTACATTTTGTCCACCAGTTCACTCCAAAAATGGCTTGCTCATTTTGAAGGTTTCATCCAAAAGTTGCTCCCCTTATCGTGTTCTCAATTGTGTTGCAGCCAATTTTAAACTCATTTATTTTTTGAATAGGTTTCTACTGAAAAATATAAATTAAATTAATAGATCTACTACTTTAAGAAATGAAAGTATGAAATTATATTTCATACGAGTTCATGTAAATAAACATAAACGTGTTTATAATCTTATGGGAAGCTCCCGACTAAAACCCAAAGTAGGTAAGCTAGAGAATTAGCAACATTTTTTATGTAGGGTGGTTGGGCCCAACATTGTCATCCTTAGTCATTTTTTATTCAAGCTACCAAATCAAAGTAATGAGACAATTAGAAAATGAGAGTACTGACTAGGACAGTGTTCGACTCACCGTAGGTCGAATTCATAAAATCAAGGATTTCATAGAATCCGCTGGGTTTAAGTTGTCGAAATAGAGAAAGGACTCCAAAAACAGTAGGTGAGGTAAGAAGTTGAGGCAACCGATCGACGGAGGGCGGTGCGGACATTCATTTTTACGAATTCAAATTAAAAACAACAAATAAAGCAAAAATAAAATGGTTGAGTAAAACATGTTGGTTCATTAGTTAGATTGCAATGCTTCCAATCTCGGATTAACAATAAATAATCTATTCCTCTCACCCCTAATCCAGCATGAATCAATCAACTAAGCTGAGATTAAAATTGTTTTCATGACTGTGAATTAAGCAAACGCACACACATATTCATTCAGTTCTGCGCAACACAAATTAATGAATTAACTGAAAAATATCATACACAAATCAGATCACTAAGCGTGAAACAAATTGAACTGCACAAAACATATTTCATATGTGACACGGCAATTAAAGAACAAACTAATTAATTTAATAGTTCTCCAATAATCTCAAGTAAACATCACCAATATCATAGTTCCAACCACCAATTAGATTTAAGCTTCCAATTAGAACCCCCAAAAAAAAAATTTCAACACAACAAAAAGTTCAAACAAGAACAAATAAATTTCAATGTAGAAATCAAATTGGAATGGTGAAACCAAAAACGTAGCAATACTAGAAAACGTAATGACAACACAACAAAATGAAACAAAATTAAAGAATGTAATGCAAGACAAAAAAATGAAAACCTAAAACAAAAATGAATACGAAATGAGCTTCAAACTTAAAATTGAAAACAAAATGAGTAAACGAATTTGGGTAGTACCAGATTAAAGATTCTAACAAGTGGGAATCAATACAGCAAACAAGTCCGATGTTGAAGTGATGCTTTTCCATATTCCAATCGTTCTGAGCTAAGAGTTTGAAGGGGGAGTCTTCATGTCACTCGGAAGGCAGATCAAGGTGAGCTGAACCAAATACCAGAGCTTTCAAGCCGTTTTGGGGTAAATTAACAATGGAAGGTGTCAGTTCTTCCTTCCAGTTGTAGACACTAGGATGACTAAAAGGCCCAGCGTCGAGAAAAATATTGGACTTTCAAAAAAAGAAAGTAGAGTGGTTAGTTGTGAGTGAAAGAAAGGTTAGAAAATAAAAACAATGAAAATGAACAATCACGAAACCCAACATCATAAGATATCTATAAATAGCAAGCTTTTAAATTATTGGTGTATAAAACAATAGTACTTTACCAAATTCCATGCATATAGTTGACTTTTTCTTTCATTCTTTTTTTATCTTCTACACCTTTGTTAATGTATATGGTAATTTTTTTATGACCGAAACAACTTTGTTTATTATTCATATTAATTGTTATTCTTCACTGATATGATATATATATATATATATATATATATATATATATATATATAATATTATATTATATTTTATGTATGTATAATATGTAACATACTATATTAGAAAAAAACATTCTTAAAGTAGATAATATTAATTTTTTTTTCACAACTTATTTTTGATGCCAAGCCTTTAATATCTTTTACCAAAAACGGTATTTTAGTTTTTCCCCTACGTACAGTAAAAGTAAACATAATTTTAATATTTTATTTCGATCTCATTTATTTCCATAGGAGTGAATAATTTATTCATGTTTTTATCAGCCAAATATTGTGGGCTACATATTTTAGGGTCAAGATAAACAAGTTAGGCTAGTTGGGCCAAAAATCCAATGCATGTGTTCTTTTAACAAAAACAAAATGTATTATTTTCACATTTTTTAAATAACGAAATGTAACAAAATTGGAATTCTATTGTTCTATCTCATTGTAATCATTCTACCACACACCATAAAAAATCTCTCACACCTTTAAACTATATTCTTATATCAATCCTTGTGATGTATAAAAAACACATCCTGAAATTAACGAAAAGTATTCAATA